CGTTACACTAAACGTAAATGAATAAAGTAATTCACTTAATTCATGCTTCATTTTCTTCAGTTCTTAACTTCATAAATTAATTGCTTTTCAAATTTTGAAATGCTTTTTTGGTACGGCAATACAGAAGTACTGAACGTATTTTATTAAAATTAAGTTTAAGCAACTTTTATTGCTAATTTATACATGTAGGTATACACAAAATTAATTATTTTTCGAAATAAGAAGTAGTTAAAGGGTTCGGTTCAATTACTTACAATATAAGCGATCGATCAATATTTTACTACACTATATGACTTAAACAGTTTCGTGTAATCACATATAAACAGCATATAATATGCAGCCAAAGTGACAAAGCAAACACATAATCTATTCGTTCCTTCAATAATTTACAGTACTCATATTTTCATTTCTGATATTATTCATTCCATGTATCTATAAATCTATAAAATTATGAATTATGAAATGCTTATTGTTTATTAGTTGTAAAGCTTTGATATGACTACTTTCATTAGTCCACTACCAAATAGCCATGTGATTTAGACGTAGCGTTTTTAAAGCGTTTCTTGAAAATGGTATGGGATGTAGGGAAAATTCTTATCCCCAACAACGTCGCCACTTGCTGTCTATCTATAGGATAATTGAACATTTCAAGATACCGCGTATTTTATTTGATATCTCATGGAGCCTTTCTTTGCAGAAAAACAAAAGTGTCAAGTATACGACATACATGTTTTTTGTGATGACTACCCTTAGTAAAGAGATCTGTAATCCTCTGGTCGCTGTTTTGAAGAAGGTTGTAATGTGATATAATTCTTACAAACAGTTAGTTTGAAACTGTAGATAATAGCTGAAGTCTGCTTTAAAGACGTCATATATTGTGTGGCTATTGAAACTGTTAACGACGATGTCACTTTGCACTATTTTGATAATTCATTTTTGATTTTATGATTTATAATGACATTGTAATTAATACGATCATATTTAAAAGAAGCTAAGAACAAGTATATTAGTGACCTTGTGTTTTTTTTTGTTTTTAACTAAACAATTGTAAACACACCGGCGCCGGCGTCACATTGGGTTTTTTGTTTTGTTTTTGTTGAATTTATTTGCCTGCAAATTTGTATCTCCAAAATAACTAAAGGGAAATTGTTGAAACTCCACACAAAGGTTCTTTGGCACAGGTCTGATAACACTGAATTGCCATTTACAGTGCTTGTATTCTTACTGTCTAGATGCCACACAGTCGATCGTGCTCTCTTGCGGTCAGCTCTTGTTTTATTTGCCATTGAGTTCACACTAAATGTTTAACAAAGTGCATTTAGTGTTCACTGCATGTGTGGCCCTAGTTTTCTACAATTTGCACATTCATTGCTCTTTTCACTTTTTATGCAATAGACACATTATGGACTGAACAGAGTTTAAGTTTGTATGATTGAATACTACTTGCATTTAACTGCAGCAAAATTGGTATCATAGTTGTTGTTCTTGTTGGTTTTTCTTTTTTTTCCCTCAAAAATAAAAGAAAAATTACAACAACTGTGTAAAGACAATATATTTAATAAGACAATGACGTATATACGCACGAGGTCATGTGTTTTAATACCTTTATCCTAATAATTGTATATGTTCACATTGTTAACAACACATGTCATTTTATTAGAAGTTGACTAACAAGGGTTCATCCAAACAATGGTGGACTTTCTTTGTTGCGTAAAATATATATTTGATATTGATTTGAAATTCTTTCACTGCTTAGAAGACATATTAACAAATAAACACAGAAAAAATGTAAGTAGCTTTTTATATTACAGCAATATTTAATTTTACATAAACACATGTCAGGGACAGCTGCGTACTTTAACAGGTTGTTGACATCAAAGTCATAATATAGTACAAAAGACAATAATTAAGATCAACAAGGCAAATGCAACGTTCACAGGCCGCAACCACCGACACACCAAAGTGGGGGCACCCAGAAGGCACCAAACCAAAACCTGGAGTGGACATAAGGGCGGTGAAAGTTGAACTTCAACGTTACGCAGTAAAAGACGGTTAACTCTTTCTAAAAGTAATGCCTGTTATCCAGTCGATTACTAAATATAATTTGCCACTTAAACACTAATGATCGTGAAATCTTATTTCTCTCTTCGTCTGCTATTTTTTCAAATGTTTTTGTTGCTGTCATTCCCAAATTAAAACACAACTTTATTTTTGCGTGATTTTTTAATTTTTATGTTCCCGTTGTAAACAATATCGCCGTCTGGCGTTTCAAGCGAAAAAAATCCAGTAATTAATGGAAATGTTACTTAAGGTATGATCCACCTAATGCATTACCTCCACTTTGAAGAGTATTCAAATAGGCTCTAACTACTGTCAACTGCATTGTAACTGAGGGGCGTGGGTTCAAGCCCCAGAAGCGGCAACTTTTTTTCTCTTTCTTTTTTTTCCCTTTGAACATTATTTGTGTCTCTCATATCACTCTTGAGAAGAAAAAAGTGTTTCATTTTAATTATGAAATTATTATTGGGATTTATAGGCTAAATTGTGCCAATTTTTTATCAAATATGGTACCTGATATTTTCAAAGTCAAATAAAATAAAAACTAGCCGGTAAAAGTATTTTATATTTGACAAGCGCAACTAACATACTTTTAAGAAAATTTATGCAAACTTTGAAAATAGCCCCTGATTTGAGTAAATTTTAGGGATATTTTGAATAAAGCCCTCAAAGTAGAAAAATGATCAAGCAAGTACTTAAAATGGGTGGGGTAGGGTAACATTTATATACATATTTCAAACATTTTGAGTAGAAACAATAATTTTGCTGGGTCATTTGTTAGCTGAATGCTATTAGTTGTTTCTCAAAAATTTTCTATAGGAAAACATTTTTTCATAATGATTATAAAATAGAATATTCAGAGTTTCTCATTTCTGAAAAAGAGCCCTTCTAATAGCCAAGTTTTACTTACGAAAAATCTCCATAACTCGTAAACCATACGGTAAACTTTGTTTAAATTTTGCATTATTGTGTCTTTTAAGGTATATAACTGACCTATGTTGTCAATTTTATAGTTCCTTATAGTGCCCATTAGGGGGCTCATACCTTAAATTACGTCATAGAATAAATATGTGATGTAAAGCTAGTCTTAAAAAATAAACAATGACTAACTGCGCTTTTTTGTTCGCCGGGTGCCGTTTTTGTTCTCATTTAAAAGCAATATAAAATCATTATTAATTGACGCTGTCACTGTTCCTTTCAAAATATGTTGATAACATTCTATAAGGTATGCTGACAAAATGTCATTACAATATAGTTGACGTTCAAGAGATCACGAATTTTGAGTAACCCCTCGTACACACCGAAGCTATGAATAGTTGTGAATAGTTATGTTAAATCCCCATTTTCTAAAACAAAAGAGAAGAAAACAACAACATCTATTCAATTGGTTAGTTTCATTTTGAGTGCTAGAAACTAAGATAAATGCATATCAACATTGGCTTACAAATGATAGAGTGACAATCAGCTTTGAATAGCAGAACACCGTTTTAAAGTAAAAGCTTAAACATATCGACTGCAATTACGACAATGAATTAAATTATTTGCTATTTGGCAAAAGTACATGAAAAGTGTGATTTGTTTTAAAGTTCTACTATTTTACTTTGGATATCGAATCAATCAATCAATCAATATTTGGGTAACACACCAAAGAGTTTATCTGATACATGTGATGGGCAATAAGAACACTTTTGATAAATTCAAAACGTTAAGAATTTTTTAAACCATTTGTTACCAAGCGAGTCAATGACGTTTAATCGCCTTGTAATTAAACAAGGATTTGTAAAACCTTTGATAAGAAATTGCAGTTGAAATTCTCCGCGTTATTGGCATAATAGGGAACTGATAACAGATGTTATCTTTCTTTTTCCTTTCCTATAAAAGCTGTTTACATAACATATAGTCTATTAGATATATACTATATGCAAATACGAGGGTTGATCAATATATTCGTGGACGCTATTAATAACTTAATAATTAATCAAGATATTATAAAGAATTTTCGCTATTTAGGAGAAGAATTTAATACTATTACAAATATATTGTGATTTTTAAAAAAAATTCTCATTTTGTTAATTATATGTATCGCCATAGCAACCCTATGCCGTACGAACGCCGCAGCTTAAAAAAAGTTATATTTACCATTTTAAAATACTTAAAAAATGGCCTTATTTATGCGCGCTTCTTCAAAATATGAAAATGACAGCAACGTTCTTTCATATGTTTATAGAACATTTAAAAAAAACAAGCGTCACTACGATTTCTTTTGTTTGTTGGAGATGTTAATTGAGACAGGGGTGTGTCACCAGAGAGGAGCACGACGTTATTGGAGCAGAGGGCAGTAATTAAGTCTGTGTAAATCTTGGAATGACGCCACAGCAGACTAAGGAAAACTTGGAAAGTGTATCTTGAACAAAAAAAAGTGTCTTATTCGTTTGTTTATAAGTGGCACAAACGTTTCCATGAGGGTAGAGAAGAACTTCAGGATAATAAGAGATGCGGCAGACCAATCGAAACTTGTTGCAATGAGAACGTTATGCGAGTGAAATTGAAGGCAGAGTTAAAGGGACACAAGTTTACCAGGTTCCATGATTTACAGTCCATGGCATTGTCTGTGTTGCGTTCATTTGATACTTCATTTAATAAGAACATTTTCAGTCAGTGGGTACACAGGCATGAACGATGGGTATTAGTTGGTGCTGCATTTTTTTAGAAGATGTAACGCCGACGTAACGTAAGTTGCGAATGAGCTGCGGCGATCAGCTTAACATGTATTTTTGAAAACTGTCATTTTGGATAAAATATACGGATTATTTATCTGAAACTTACACATCAAATTGATAAATGATTGAATAAATGTCAAATATAATTATATTAACTTTCCTTCCCCAAAAATACAATTTATGGAGTGTGTCCACGAATATATTGATCAACCCTCGTATTATAATGTTGGCAATCATTGAGAAAACATAAAATTATAACTGAATTAAATTTCTTAAAATAAAAAATGGCTACAGGAGGTAGTGTAGATATTAATATTGGTGTTCTTCACGATGAAGAATTTGATTTTCCTTGTACAATGTGTTTAAAGAAGAACAGAAACAAAGAAGCAAAATATTTCTGTGTAAATTGTAATGACAATTATTGTGATACATGTATCAAAGTTCATGACGAAGTGCCTGCACTTTCCAGACATAGGAAAGAACATATTACGCTGTCATCACCACCAACAAAAACAAATTCGGGTACGAGTCATGTTTCAACAGAAAAGTGTGACTTACACCGTCAAAATGCTATTGATATGTATTGCCGCGACCATGATTATGTTGGATGTGGAACTTGTATTGCTATTGATCATAAGTAAGTATCTCTTTGTTTTAATTTCACAACTTACTCTTGGTTATTTCATGAATTTTAGATGAGATGAGGTTTTATTTACTGTGCAAGTAGTGTAACACTTATAAGAAGTAAGTAAAACGCTCGTAACATGTCTTTCATTTAAGGTTTACTGAACGCCGCCTTTCTTGTTGATCTTTGTTAAACGTATTTTCAGCTATTGATTTCATCTCTACTAATTAAAATTTAAAATTAATGTGACAATTTTGTAACATTTTTTATTATTTAAGTGTAAAATTTTGTATTCTTTATAGAAAGAATAAGTCCATAACTTACAAACATCGGTATTTGTATATATCATTTAATAGAAAATGAAAGCTTGTTTTGTGGGGTTTTTTTATTTACTTTTGACATACCATAGCAAATCTACTTTTTACTTTGAGGAAACTATCCAGCGAGCTGTCGTTGGTTCTACTCAGGTGCCAGTTCGTGCCTGAAATAATTCACAGAAGGGTGCCTGAGGTCTCCCTTTACAATTAAAGCTGGAACATCGCAATAAGATCTATAATGTGTCGATGTGACGTAAAACCCAAATCAAGCAAACAAACAAAAAAATATTTTTTTGCATTTTGGTCTTAAGGGTGTCTTTTTTACCTTTTTAAATAAATAAGTTTAGTGCTTGGACGTGCTTGGATTGTAACAAAATAATGTATCATATGTAAAAAATAAAGGAATGAACAAACAATATATAAATTAACACTATAAATTAACACTAGCATACACCCTGTTCAAAAGGCCTTTAAGACACAGATAGCATGTAAAAATAATCTGAAAACGCACGAATGATATAATGTACAGTAAAAATTAAATATGTTATGATCATGGTAAAATCTTCTAATTGAAAAAATAAAGTATTCTAAATAGTTTAACCATAAAAAGTATGTATTGGAAATCCGATGTTGTTTGTAAATATATTTGACAAATATTAATGGACTACCTAAAATTTACAAGATACATTTAAACTTACTTAATATTTCAATATGTTGAATTGTTATAACAGATGCTGTAAAATTTGGAAAATAAATGTATGTTATTAGGTCTTTTTGTAACATTGAAATGCATTTTCATTTACAGACAATGTGAGAACACATTTTATATACCAGAATATTTAAAGACAAAGAAAAAGATTTCAACAAAACATGTAAAAAAGGAAGTAGCTGAAACTTTATCAGAACTAAATGACAATCTTAAAGAACTTAAACAACTGAAGCAAGAACGTCTGAATCACAAAGCTTCAATACTTCGGTCTATAAGTCAGTTTAGAAAAGAAATAAACGACAGGATTAATGAATTGGAAAAGAAAACAGAAGCTATCGCAGTTACGAGATTCGATTGTATCGTAGCCGAGTTGGAAAAGAAAATAAAAAAATATGAATCGATGGAAAAGAGCTTAATAACAATAAAAGACAGTATTATGTCGAAGGAGAATAATAAGTTCCAAAAATTAATTTCTGTCACAAAAGCTAAACATATGACTAGGCATGCCAATAGAGTTATGCATAGGTCTAAAGCTTTAGTTGCAGACATTTGTCTAAACGTTAACCATCAGCTACGATCAATGCTAAAGAAAATAGATTCTCTGGGAACAATCAGTCAAAGGGAACCAAAAGCTATATTTGGAGTTGGAAAATGCAATACATTTTGTATCAAGGAAGACAGCGATGAAGAGGATTGCAGCATTACAAGTGCATGTACCCTTCATAATGGAATGGTTGTGTTGTCTGACGCCGGAAATAAGAAACTGAAACGTTTAGAATGTGGTACCTTTACTGTTGTAGACTGCTGTGAACTATGTGAAGAACCAATGCAAGTGTGTGCAACTTCTATGGATGAGGTGGCAGTGAGTTTACCCTTTCAGAGGGAAGTGCAGTTTGCTACTTGTGAAGACGAATTGACTCTGACACGGACAATAGAAACTGACTTCGAATGCTGTGGTCTTTCCTTCGCTAATGGTAACTTGTACATATCTGACAGAAGTGAATTTGTATATGTATTCAATTTATCCGGACAAAAACTGCTACAATACAACATAGATCAACCAGGCTACCTATTATCACGGTACATAAGCAGTATATCTATCAGTCATGATGGATCTAGAATATATATTGCTGATGGGTATAACGAACTTATTATACTGGACGGAAAAGGGGTCGCTGTTGGAAAATTTAATTATCAAAACCTTTCACAGCCATCAGGGAGCTGTGTAACAGAAGGAGGTTCTCTGCTTGTTTCCGGGTGTTTCTCTAACAATGTTTTTCAATTCGGGCGAGATGGCGAACTTCTCGGGGAAGTATTGAAAGCAGACGATAGTTCCTCTAACAATGTGTTTCAATTCGGGCGAGATGGTGAACTTCTTGGAGAAGTATTGAAAATAGACAATAGTCAAACGTGCATGCAAGCAATTTGTTGTACCCAGCATACAGATCAGATGCTGATTGGAAGTAATTCGAACAATATTAAGGTTTACGACTTGGTAATATTATCATATACTAAATCCGGTTACTGATATACATGTATGTAAATATTTTGAGCAAATCAATAGTAGTTGCAAGACCGATTACATTTAATAAAATAATGTGCATTTGATAAACCACTTTTAAACTAGAGTGTAAAAGCTATCAAAAACGTTTATGTTGGACAGTACAAATATCAATAAAGATGTTAAAAGAAGATAAGTATAAACATTACGGGAATCAGTATGACCGACGAATAGGAATATCCATTTCAAATCATAATTGTATTACGTGTCACAAATTTGGCAATGGTCGTGTTTGATTCCTCATTGTATAACAAAATGTACTAACATATTAAAAACTGAAGTTGTTTTCTATAGTGATTTTATACCGGATTGAGCTAAATGGACATTTTTGTAATATTACATTGCAGCAAATGTTAATCAATATAGTTCCACCCATCATATATGGTGCTTTATCAGTAAAATATAGTTCATTTGTTAAACATATATATGATATATAAATATGAAAGTAAGCAGAGTCAAGTCTACGTTCTCAGATGGTTTTATGTGACAGTTTTTAGCTTCTGTTCTTCATTCAATTATTACAAATTAAAAGGATAATTATTGTTATGTGTTCTCAACATAGATTAAGACGGAGGCAAAACAAATGTTTATTGAACCGCGTCGAAAACTTAGATATGATCAATATTCTCATTCTGCACGCAAAAAAAAGTTAATATCTCAACAAATATCTCAAAAACATCTGTTAATTTTCGATTGTGTAACAATCTACTGCCTACAGAGGAAGAGGAAGGCGGGAAAGTATTGTTCGAAATGAGAGAAATGTAGTCTTTGTAACTCAAATTATATAGGTGATGAATTCCATTACATTTTTTATGTAGTTATTTTGAAAATAAACGAAAAGGACTCTTACCTAGTATTAATCAACAAAACAAAATATATTTACGTTTAGGAAATAAAGGGAAGAAACAGATCCGCACAGTTAAATATGCTTTTGTTAGGAACCCACCTGGCTAGTCACATTTCTTTTTGTTCATAATCTTTAAATATTTTCTGTTTTGCAAATTTTAGCATGTATACATTATCCAATGAAATAGTGTAGTTATATACACTAAACCTGCAATAGTTCATTTAATTTGTATACACAACCTGATTACACATTTGTTTATATATTATTGTCCACCTTATCATATATAAATATGCTGAGTGTATCAATAAAACTTGAAAACTTGAAAATTGTTTACCCATCAAGTGAGGTTTTAAAAAAACCAAATGTTATTTCGCTTTTTGGTGGGTTGTGAAAATACATAAAATTTGATCACATTTCGTAAAAATATACTCCACGAAAACATATCCTCTTATTGTTCACACACATTGTATTTATTATCAAAATAATTGCTTCCTAAATAAATGGGGTTGTATGTGTTAACCTCTTTTATGTTTTGAATCGTTCAATATATAACATTAGTAACATTCTGAAATCCTATTTAATTGCATGCGCCCGGAGACACATATACACACAAAGACGCATGCATATATATACATTCATAGCAATTCTATTTAGATCCTTAACATTATTGTTTTTAAAATACTGACATCATTCTGTAATAATCGTTGTCTTATCATTGATTATGTTCAGACTTTCTCACGCTAAAACAAGGGGGTCATACCATGCGCGCGCATCCTCAAAATTTTGATACCGCGAAAACTTTCTCAACAAAAACGAGTCATGTAAAGCAATCCGAATATATTTGAATTTAATTTCTTTTGCAAAGAAGATATCCTTACTTTTAGTTTTAATATTCCAAAAGCCTAGACACAATCTCGTCAGTATTTCGCGTTGAATGCAATTTTGATTCCGGATATTGCGTACACCCGGCGTTGAAATGTTACAGAAATTGAGAAATTGTCGATTAAACTGAACTGGAAGTTAGTTTATTGTAAAATCTATTTTACGAATATATTTTCAATCTTTGTTATTTTTCCTTTGTACAACAAAAGTGTCTTAAAACGAACTTTTTACAGGAAATAGACATTATGATGCTTCATACACTCTCAAAAAATCAAGATAAAACTGGTAAACATGTATATGTTAGATTTAAGTTTTCAATGCAAAACATACAGAAATGTTAGCATAGCTTGCTTAACGATGACATACTAATTGCTAGAAGGGTAAATTATCTTGAAACATGTTACACTTTAAGATGTATGTGTTTCTAAACAAACCTGTCGTGATTCGGTAAGTGAACTCTATTTCTAACACCAACATGTACGCAGTCGATAGGCAATTATTTTTATAAATACTTGATAAATATGCAATAATATACATGTAATTTACAAACATTATATCAATTGAACACATCAATAATCATATAATATATTAAACACCGAGGGTACCTGATGAGTTCTGATATTATTCTCGTTATTTTGGACAATATTTAAAACTCAAATCTTGCAATAAAATAGTAAGTTCTTACGTAAAATAAACTGATCATTAGAAATGTTATGAGATCTGAATGCAAGAACTTCAATATCTGAGCAATTTAACTAGAAAATTACAGAACGACCATGTTCATTTTATAGAAATACCCTTTACGTTTTATCTTATAATTCCAAGAACTATCATTTACTTTTTAGTTTAGAAATATCTTAGAACAAGAAATGACAATCGACACATATGCCCACCTTTCCAGACTTTGAGTCATACTATTGGTAATTTTGTTATAGAACCATGCCATAAGTTGGTACATGGGAGTGTTCAGTTCATTGTTAAATTATTAAAAAAGTAATATTATGACCATTCTATGACCTGAAACTAAATGAAAGCTAGTATATTCAAAATAAAACTTTTTTACATAATGTTACCGGTACCGCAACTAGGACGCGGATCACATTACAGGAATATACAACAGGGATTATTTTTTTTGCGATATTCGGTCATATTCCCAATTGAAAATAATACACTATTTTCCAATTCACAAGAAATAATTCCTAATTGCAAGTCACTAAATAAAAATATTGAATAACCAATTCTAAAATCTTTCGAAAGAAGGCCATTTTCACTGTTATGGTGTTTAAATGTTTAAAGATGCCATCCTGTACATTGATTCTTTGCATTCGTTTAATCACTGCATAATCAAAGTCATGTATTTTAAGAATTTAAACAAAATATTGTGCAAAGTACGGAGACTTCTTTCCAGACATCAATTGTATTGGTATTTATTTGTATTATGACATTCTACGTTCTTGTAACCTTGACCTTGAACAAAGTATACGCAAAATTCTCACTATGACCTATCAAAATGTGAAATAAGAAGAATTGATGACTGTTTTTAATATATTTTGGCAAATAAAGTCACTCTGACCTTGAACTTTGACCAAGTAACCCATTTTATCAATAATGGGTATCTACTGACTAATGATCGTACCACCTTCGGCATTTGTAAGACATGCCATTCAATGGATAATATTTGGAAACCACTTGTATATTTGAGGTTACTGTGATCTTGACCTTTACACAGTGACCCTAAAATGAATAAACATCATGTTCTACTTATGACCAGAAATTAATTGAAAAATGAAGGCTTTGTAATAGAAAAGATAATGAGCGGAAACCATCCGGACATTTAAGACCCCTGTGACCTAGACCTATGACCTATTGACCACAAAATCAAAAAACGTATTTTACTAGTTATTACCAATCAATATGTGAATTATGAAGACTTAGTAACTAATTGGTGTCAAAAGAATAAGCGGAAACCATTTTAACATTCAATGTTATTTAACCTTGACCTATGACCAAGTGACTTTAAAATCAACAGGGGTAATTTACAAGTGATGACCAATTAGAATGTGAAACGAAAAGGCTTGACGACAGGTATTTTTTAAGATAGTGGTGGAAACCATTCATACATTAAGGTCCTTTTGAACTTCACTATTGACCTAAAGACGCCAGAGACGATATAAGTCATTTTCTAGTTATTAGCAATCAATATGCGAAAAATAAAGACTTTGACTAAGACCTACAGACTGGCAGACCGACCGATATTAGCAAAACAATATACCCCCACTTATTAAAAAGGGGTCATAATGATAAGAACTATCCTTAAAATTTTGAATGGAAAATGAGATTCCCAGATTTCATTTTGTAATTTAAAATTGACCAATGAAGATTCAAATTTTTCAGGATGTCAAAACTGTTTTAAGACCGGTATCCGGGCGAAAAAACAGCAACAAAAAAACCAGAATTCTATGACAATGCAATACAACATCTATAGCATTGCTGTACTTTGTACAGTGCAAAACAGTGCCTCTTTTAATTATGCGTCTTATCTAAAATCATATAAGACTCGGCTGCTTTAAAGCAGAATTGATATCGTTGTCTCATACAATAAGGTACACGAACACAAACTGAAAACATGGAAGCATTATTCAGAACAAAATCTAAAATACAATTCAATTTGTAACACTTAAAAGTGTTGGAATCAATGATCCCGAAGGACAACTGAAGTAAAGAAGTACGGGGTCATTTTAGCCGTTTTGAAGTATAAAATCTGGTGTGATCCCTCGGAAGCAATAATCACAACAAAATTACATGAAAATTGCAGACTCGATTTGTTTGAGCCTGTTAACGAGGGATAATGAAAAGGTGCAACATCCCTCACGCCCCTAGCATCGGTGTGTGTGACAATGATAAGCTTTCACACATACTTTTCATGATAAATTAATATACACGTGTTTTCTCGTTTATTTTTTCTTCTAAACTATAGAGTAATAAGTTGCTTGTATTTTAGTCTACCACAAGAAGATTAAAATACATTTATATAATAATGCAAGTCTCTCAGTAGAGCAAAGAAATTTTTACATATATTACATATACTAAGGAGCATATGGTGGTGCCAAAATGTCAAATATCTAAGTTCTTAACAATGACGTTTCAACAATGAAATGTTTTGCCATATGGGTATTTTTATGTTACAAACAATTGGACTAGAAATTTCTGAAATTATAGCATAAAATCGGCTATTTTTCCCTATTTTGCCCATGTTATAACGGGACCAAAACCATGTGTTAACATAGTCACGCGCTCTTGTTATAGCCCGGTTTCACCTATGCGCAATACATACAGGGCCCAGTAAACAAACAAAAAATGACGATTTTGCCTGTTTGCCAAAGAGTCATGCGCTCTTGTTATATTGAAATTTATTGATTCGAGGGCCTCAGTCGCATATTCAAGTAAATATGCCGGAAAAAAACGGCGTATAGACATCGGTGCTAATCTTGGTTGTCGCCCTTTCTAAGAAACGGACAGTTGTCAATGTAAACAAATACAGTAGAATCTACCTGTCATTCAGTTTAAAACTCCGATTAACTTACAAAACTAGATAACACAAAAATTAATATGAGAAAATGTTTTTTATTTATGTTAATGTTGATAAATGCTCTTTATATTTCTTTGAGAGAATAATGCTTAGAGCCTAATTTTGACATAAAGACTCGATGATCTATTTTACTATTTCTGACCACTACAATGGTAAATTCTATTCTTCCTGCCACGCTCTTGGCATTTATATTAAGCCATTTTAAGTCCCATGATCTATTTAAGAATTGATTTGAATCATTTGTAAAGTGTATTTTAAAGACCATTCTTGTGAGGTTTGCCCAGAATCGTCCCTATAGTTACTGCTATTTATTAAAGGTTAATGACTGACGAAATACATCGTGCAATCACAAGAATATCACCTCTTAGCTCTGAATACTCAAGTGATTTAAAACAAATTTGAAATTAAAAAAGAATAGCAACCATTACTATGTGATATTCGGCATGGTTTGATATGGCTTAGAAGTACCGAACGTATTTTATTATGCCCCCGCCATATAATGGCAGGGGCATATAGTGTTACCCTGTTCCGTCATTCCGTCATTCCGTCCTTCCGTCATCATCAGTTTCCGTTCATTATCTTAATAACCCTTGCACATATTGAACTCAAATTTGACATATGGATATGTCATGAGAAAATACAGGTCAAGTTCGAAATTGGTCATGGTTCGATGATTTTTGGCAGAGTTATGCCCCTTTTACATTGAAAATAATATGAAATTTTCAGTTTGCGTTCATTATCTCCCAAACGGTTCAAAACATTCAATTCAAAATTGACATATGGATATGTCATGAGAAAATACAGGTCAAGTTCGAAATTGGTCATGGTTCGATGATTTTTGG